CGGACGCCGCGGAAGACATCTCAGAATGATGTACGACCAAGAGATGGACGACATCGAGCGGGTTCTTCTGCAAGAGGAACTCGAGCGTGAGGAGCACGAGCACGACCAACTCGGACATGACCACTTCGGACACAACCACGACTCGACGGAGTAGTCGTGACCACACCGACCACGGCGAAGCAGTCTCTACCACAAGTAGCTCGCCATAGGAATCCGAACATCGCTACCCAATTGTTGTTGTTTTGGTCGCTTCACTTAAAACACTTTTTTAAATAATCTCACCAGCGCCACCTGGTCTCAAACAGTCGCAAACAAACTCAAACACTAACAAACGTCTCGTGTTAAATTTAATATTAAGATATTAGCAAACAAAGCTACCGGTGAAAAAATGTTCCCTATGTCTAGTATATATTTCTTAAACATCTTTGGTATTACCAATCTTAAGCAGTAAATATATCAAAACTTGCTAGAACTTTGCAGTGCAGTCTCGTAGCAGAAAGGTCTCGTAGCAGAAAGGTCTCGTAGCGCAACCAAATTTCGTAGCATAATTGCCGTTACATTAGCATCGTAGCGATATTTTGTGATTTTCATACATTCCACCAACTCTCAAACTCCGTTAGTTTTAAATAGCGTAAGTAGTTAAACTTTTTATAAACGTAGTTTTGAATCTCTTCCGCCTTTTCTATCGTCTCCGAGATAAATGTATATCTTTGTCTATGACAGTAAATGTTAGTGTTGTCACTTGTATGAAACTCCTGTCTCTGTCTGTTTTAAAAGAGTGAGTGAGATAGTAAGAGTCCATTCGATTTAACATGCTCGATGTACAGTCGAGGTAAAAAATTATTTACTTGTATAGTATTTTTTAAATATTTTGTTTCCGAAATCGAAAAAACAATGTAATAATCATACTTTATTCTAATTTAAATACCAATTTTTGGATGTTTCTTACTAATTATCTCTAAATTAAGTTAACTGATCTTAATTAAATTGAGTACAGATGTAGACCATAGTCTAGAAGTCATAGACTACTTAATAAGTTTTTTAAAAACCGCGCGAAATAACCATCAGTTTTTTTTTATTGTTTTTATATCTTGACTGTACTTTTTCGTAATCCGTGTAAATATTAAAAACAGTAGAACCTCGATAACTCAAACCTCTGTTACTTAAAAAGATAATATGTTCCCTCTACCATAAACCTCTAAAATATAGACCCTTGATAACTTGAAACCTGTGTAACTTAAAATATTTAGTTTCCCTTGGACTTTAACTTAGGTTCTACTGTACTATTACTAGTAATATTTTCATATTTTTTTGATATTCTAGAATATAAATGGATGTACATTGTATGTAGTTTTAATATATTCTATTTTCCAAAGAATTAAATCTTCGAAAGACATCAGCTGTCTGTTACCTTTTAAAGTTTTTTTATATTAATATTTAAAATAATGTAATAAATGTGTAGTTTGATTTCCAAAGTTAACTAATAAAATTAATACTTGTATAGGAAAAAATAACTTGCATCTATATCTATACTATTATAATAAAGCGTAAACACACACTTCTTTGTTGCCTAAGATGTCAGCAATTACAGAATATTTTTGAATAATTCGTTCTTTAATAAAAAGCCCTACACTTACCTCACGCTTTAGGTTTTATATTTTCACGCCGTTAAACTTAGAGGTAAATATTTTAGATTAAAACTCTAATGTGGGAAAGAGACCATAAGTTGCTGCCAACATTAAGGAAACAAGATTGCCATGGTTTGTCATGTCATTTTGACATTTGCCATTGATAATTTGACAAAGGTGCACAATAAAATGATTTTTCTATTATTTTATGCGGATGAAGTCGCGTGGGAACAGCTAGTTATTAATATTTCCGATGAAATGTAATAGCCGCCATCTATAAATTTTAACGTTCGTATGTTTGCAAAATTTACAGCCGTATACTGAAACGATATTTGATTTAACAGCGTCTTACGTTAAATCATTAGTCTGTGTTGTTGGTTCGATAACTTCACGAAGTGTTTCCGAACTAACTGTTTAACTCCGTTGGAACATAGCTTAGAACACTAATGAATCAATAAAGATACAATAAACGGAAACTTCAGAAACCCGGCATTAAATTATTAGGACTTTGATAACGTTCTGATTCCATTAATATTCTGACATCCGTCAGATTACAAGTGCTTACAAAGTAATTCTTTTTAGAATTCGTCATTTAGGAACATTTGGGTCTTTTAGCAGAAAAATAATGTAATACCAGCTGGTCTTTGCTTAATTTTTTTTTTTTTTTGTTATTGAAATGTTAAGTGCCTTGATTTGTTTATAGCCTGTGGATTTGTCTATAAATATTATTATTGTATACAGTTTTGTTATTTAATAATAAATTATTACTAAGACATTGAGAAAGACTTAGTTTTTGTTGATTTGCGTAAGTGGATGTATTTGTTATTTGTATGTGATATGGACAATATATATTTCTAGTATGTTCTATCTATATGCGATATATTTATAGATATTAATGTAGGTACCGCTTTCTATGACTTAGGGAAATTAATGTTAATTTAGCGACAAAATATTTTCTAATTCCTTTTTAATATATATATGAGTCTCTCAAAACAGCTATATACAGAAACAATATTTAGATACGTAAATTATAGATTCTTAAATTCTAAAATACATTAAAATTTTAACGTCTGTCATTGCGGTATTCACCAAGTGTTTATTCGTTTTAATATTCGATGAATTAGATATACATTTTTATTGTTAAAACTCTT